AGCATAAGCTAAAAGGGGAAGGGGATACAAAATTACAAAGCTCTCCCAAGGGTGAGAATCCAGATCTCTCTGATAGGGTTTTGTTTGATTTGGTTTGGCATCCTCCGTCCATTGTTTTCTTTACCATCTTGTTGAATTTCTTGTTAATCACCGCTCTAATTTTAGGGGACTTCTCTTTCCTGATTTTCAGCAAGGAATATGACAATCCATTTAGGGAAAGGAGGTGCATGATTTCACCTGGTAAGAGGAAATTTGTGATGATAAGGTAATTTTCTTATTCATTTTATTTTTCTATTTTTTCACCTTTTCTTCAATGTCTTATGCAACTAATATTGGCTACTCATCTATGTTCAGAATTTGCAGGGCATGTATTCCAACTTCTAAGATATGCTAAGCACTTTTAGGACATGTCTATTGTTAACATTGGTTGAGAGAAGAGAAAACATATAATGTTATTTCATTTTCTGCCCATGTCTGTCTCATAAACACCTTGTTGTTAATGCTTTAGATGTGCATAACTGGTTATGAATTCCTATTTTTTGCTAAAATTCAACCTGTTTAATGAATTAATCTATTAGTTTTTATTTATTGTAGTTTGATCAATGTTCAAGATGCTGGTAATAATGGCCACATGGAGACTATGGAGATAGCTTGCTCGCAAACTGGCTGGTATCATCAAATGGATCTGTAAATTTGGCTTAACTTATTTGGTGTTTAGGATGGGACTGAAGATAATTGTCAATACTTTTTTTCAGGGTAGGTGGGTTATTTTATTTTATTTTTTTTAACATATTGTTGGTGTGAACGAGTTTTCTGATGGTCTCTAATGTGTGGAGAATATGGTTTGTATCACAAAATGGGTTTTTATATTTGGCTTTACTTATTTGGTCTTTTTTCTTATCACAAAGTAGGATGAGACTCAGGATATTGTCAATACATCCTTTTGCAATAAGTGGGTTATTTTTGCAATTTTATAACACAATGTTGCTCTGAATGAGTTTTCTAATGGTTTATTTGGTGTGGATACAGGCTAGTTAACAGAATTCCAGAAGAGTGAGTACACCATTAGAACTGGATTTTCTTGTTTGCTTACTTAATTTTTTTATGTTCAGGTAATCTTTTAGTGTCTGCTGCTTGTTTTACCAGGATAATTCTTTGCAAGCTATTTTGTTATAGAGTGTAATCATAGAAGATTGATTAGTTATGACTCATGAAATTATTACAGGTGATGAGCTATTTGCTTGCTTGCTCAAGGGCTTTTATGTTTTTTTAAGGATAATGTTTAAGGAGGTACTTTCTAATTTCCAATTCTTTTCTTTTTAAGTTCTGACAGCATTGTCTTTGTAAATTAAGTTTGTTTATGCATTGTTCAACCATTTCATTTTGTATATATGGACATGTTGAAGTGGACATGGTCCTCCAATCACATCAAGCTGCCTTTTGCCTTGTGATCTCAGTTAATTTTCATTTTCTGTTTCTCTAACATATCTTAGTTAGACTTTGTTGTCATGATGAAATTATTGTTATTTGTTTGGGGTTTTTGTTATTTTTCCATTTTATTTGTTGTGATAATCTACCTTACCCTTCTGTTTTTCTGTAATTTCTTTCTATTTAATTGCAAGCCATCTTCCATAGAGGGATTCTTTAGTGGATTGTGTTCTCTAGGCTGGTGTCTTTTTTTCTGATCCTGTGTGTAACTTTGTCTTTGTAACTCTTTACAGTCAATGATTGGGAAACTGCTTTTCATGCTCTATGATTCTTATTATCAGGTTAGGTTTTTCTTAGGTAGGCAGATTGGTGTTCTTTTGTACACTTGGGAAGGCTACAACAAGTTGTTCTTAGATATTATTATTGGGTTACTTGACATGATTAAATTTATCTTTTTCATGAGTTTTAGATCTTTTTGAAACACCCCTGTTCTAAAGTGTAAGATTTTACAAGTTTTTAGCTTTAAATGCTAATTTCATTAAGTTAAGGAGGTTAGGCCGAAAACCCGAATCTGGTTTGTTAGGTTGCATGGAAATTTCAGGCAACGTTACCAGATTTGACTGGCTGGCTTTTGGCAGGTTGCTGCTGAAAGATAATAAAAAAATCAAATAAAAGATCTAAGTTAGTGGAACTCATTAAAAATCCACTAACTTTGTCTAGACGTATATATATGGTTCAAATGAAGACTCAACTCATTTTTACATTCTAAATTTTCTGGTACCAGAAGGAGGAAAACAGGGAGAGAAGGAAGTTCTGCAACCCAGAACCAGCAGCCAGGTTAAGAAGGCTTTGGGAGGAGTTTTTGTTAAGTTAAGGCTGCAGTAAGGTAAGTTCTAGTAATTGTTTAGCTTACACTTAAGAGTTGGAATTAAAATTTACAGTTTGATGGCAACCTTACTATCACGCAGCAAGTAGAGTTTAAAATGCAGATTTATAGACATGCAATGCTGTTATGTGAACAAAAGAAAGGAATTTCCTCTGTTGAGTGTTTCTTCTTGTCTGCACTTTCTGAAGTTTTATTGCATGTTGATTTTCTAGTTGAAACTCTGCAAGTTGAGATTTATAGCAGCTTTGTTAGCTGTCTGGCTCTTTAATCTTACTTGTACCGGGGATGAACATTCAACTAGTATGAAATGCATATGCATTACATGAGATAAGAACGCATCATTTTACATGCTGCATAGAATCTATTGTACTGGGATGTAACACTTTTGCTGCATATTTAATTCATATGGGAGGACTGCATTATTTTATTTTAGAGAAATTTAGAATAGCTTGAGTTGCCTTTTGCTTAAGTTTTCTGCTTATGAGAAGTTTTCACTTTCCTTTTTATATGGACTCACAGATTTGCCTCCTATATTTTAACCTCCCACTGGTAAGTGTTTGTGCTGGTTTTCATTTGCACACGGAGGAGTATGTAGACTCTCTTTCTTATCCTCCTGGTTGTGTAAGTCCATTGGAGTATGTGTGTAATTTTTGTTCTTTTAATCTTCTCTTTCAACATGTCAATATTAGCTATGTGGTTCGTATGTTATAACTCTTTACAGACTATTATCTTGATTGCACAGTTAGCTTCTCTTGGGTAGGCAATTTAGTGTTTGTTTAAGCTTGTTAGAGAGTTATTTGACAGGACTAAAGTTTTCCTTTTGACTAGTGTTCGGATGAGAATTTACTGTTTCCTGCTGCTGAGCCATTAACCAGGGAGATTTCTCTTTTCTATCTATAACCTGGTGCTATATGAAATCTCTTTTATTTCTGGACAGTCAGGTCATTTAGATCTTTGATTACTGGTTTTTGGGATTTTTATCGAGCTATTTTTCTATTTGTTCATGTCATTCAACAATTGCAGCTGGAAAGGAAAACATCTATTTTTTGCCTGTATAATGGTATAGGTAGGTAATCTTTTTCATAATGCCAGCAGATGTATCATTAAATTTTTTTCCTTGTCTAAGCAGTGTGTTTGTCATCACTTTCTTTATAATTTTGGAATTCTCTGTTTGTGTCTTTGTCATGCAAGGCTGAGAAAAATATAATTAGAAGTGCAGTTGATGGAAGGTCCTCGGTGGAGCTCACAACATTTTATTCCAGGTAAGTACCGTACTTCCTTAGCATCAGAAGCTTGACCTTGGTCTTATATCCATACCCTGGATTATCTGCTTTCTCTGGTATTTTTTCTTTTATTATGTGTAAATCCTGAAACAATTTTCTGCTTTGTTCAAGTCTGTGATTGACTCATTTTTTTTTTCGTGTACTTTCTGTTGACTTGTTAGCCACTTTTGCTTTGGATGGTTGTTTTGTTCTGGTTTTAGTTAGTCTAGACAGCTTTGGCTTGTCTAAGCTTTTGATATTATCATTGTTCCCCATTTGATATCAAACATCTTGTCTTGTTATTTCGTTCAGAAGCTCAAAGGGTTGTTGTTTTCTGCCTCAAAAAATTCAAGTATAATTTCAGGATGATGTGTTAATATTATTGATGTGTGGATGTTCTGGTTTCTGATTCTGGATCAGATTTCAATTTCTGATTCTGGTTTCTGAATAGGCTGCAGCAAGGAAATGCTTTTACATAATGGTATGTTATAACAATCTTCTATCTCTTTGGATTTTATGCGGTACTTTGCAAGTGATATATCATGTTTGGGTTCGGTTTTCCTGTGTTGTTTGGGATCTTGAATTTTTATGAGCTTGAGTGGAAAAGGGGAAGGGGATATAAGATTCCAGTGCAACCAGAGGTGAGAATCCAGATTTCTCTGATAGGGTTTAAATTTTTTCCCATTTTTTCTTTGGCATCCTCTGTCCATTATTTCCCTTTTATTTTTCTTGTAATTCTTGGTAATGGCCTCTCTTAACTTTTGGGGGCTTTTTATTTTTTATTTTTGTTATTTTCTGATAGATTAAGGAGAATAAGAGTCGATTTATTGAAAGGGATATGCACAATTTCAGCTGGAAATAGGAGGTTTGG